CCTTGCCTCGCTCACAGGGACACTCTGAGAGCTAGGTCCACTTCCAGGCTCACAGAGGGGCAGCGCCCACAGTGGTCAGACCCTACACCTCCATTTACAGCCATGTCAGTGAGAGGCAAGCGGCTAACTGCCCCCAAAGGGCTCCTCCTGTGGCAGAGCGAGGGGCTGATCACCCTCAGGTGAGGTTTGGGGCCTGGACTCCGTGTTCCCTGCTCAGCACTGCGTGGAGGGTGGGGGACATCACTCTCAGTGAGGGGAATGGAATCCCTATAATGTTTCCCTTGTCAACCCGCAGAGCGACCATCAGGGACATGGTGACAGGAGGGCTGAGATGAGAAGTGGACCAGATCTGACACACAGCCACTTCCTGCTTTTTTCCTGCAGAGAATCTAATTAAAGACACAAAGAAGGAAGAGGAACTGCCCCAGGGACACTAGGAGGGAAGAAAGCATTGACCCCAATAGGAAGCCTGCACAACCCTCCAGGGACAGCCTCTGAGCTGGGAGCCTGGTTTTGCTGGTCCTGAGCGCCCCCTGGTGTCCTGAGCGCCCCTTGCAGCCCAGCCCTGCTGTCTCCTCAGGGAGGTTAGTGTCTGGGCTCACACTGACTTCCCCTCACTGTGTCTCTTGCACAGTAATACACGGCTGTGTCCTCTGCTCTCAGGTTGTTCATTTGCAGAAACAGGGTGTTCTTGGTGTTGTCCCTGGAGATGGTGAAGCGGCCCTTCAAGAGGCGGTGTAGTATATGCTACCACGATTCCAACTAATGTATGCGACCCACTCCAGCCTCTTCCCTGGAGCCTGGCGGACCCAGTTCATGCCATAGTCATCAAAAGTGAATCCAGAGGCTGCACAGGAGAGTCTCAGAGACCCCCCAGGCTGCACCAGGCCTCCCCCAGACTCCACCAGCTGCTCCTCACACTGGACACCTGCAAACACAGAGACACAAGGTGGACTGAGAATCACATGGAAGCACCAACAGGCACAGGCACAGGTCTCAGCGCTCCCCACTCCTGAGAATGTCCTTGAGAAATGATCAGGAAGAAAACGCAGCTTGGCACCAAGTCCATGGTGGAGCCACTGGGGTCCTGTCTCAGGCGCTTGGGTTCTGGGTGTCTCCCCAACATGCCGGGCAAGGGCCCCCTTTTATGAGCAGGAGGAGAGCCCCATTTGCATGGAGTCTGCATATAAGGTGCAGCTGGGACCCTGGGCTGCATGCCTGACCTTGTCATCCTTGGGGCGACCCCAGATGGGAAAGGACTCAAGGACGCTGGCCACAGGCGGTCCCGTCCTGACCCCCCTCCCTCCTCCATTCCTGAGACCCATCACCGTGACTCCATTCTTTTGGGGGCAGCTTCCAGGGTTGAGAATCCTCCTTCCTGGGGTTTTGATGAGGACCCAGCGGTGGTCCCCCAGAGGCTTGTGGATGGGGCTTCCTCTTGATCGCTTTCCCCTGCTACGGGCCATGTCACCTCTCTGGGTTTTGGGAATAGAATTTGCATTGAATGATGGTTTTCTTTCGAGACTGAAAGGATTTCCTTGTTATTGTCCTCTATCACATCTTACTCACAAGAATATGTAATCAGACAATGCATGGTCCTTGCTGCCTGTCACTATTTGAGCCAAATGAGCAGAGACAGGGTATAATCATATATAGGCATTCATTCCAATACTGTGGGCAATATGGGGGAACAGCTGGTCACCCAGTAAAACTTGCTCTGCAGCCCCCATAAACCAGCTGCTTATATTGAGTGAAAGGATAGAAGATTATGTGGAAGTAGCCAAAGGGGCAGGTGACAGGGAGCAGAGGGCTGGGACCTTCAAGGGTTGGCGGGCTGGGTCCTGCAGGAAAGTTGTTCATCTCCAGGATGATCGGCAGCTCCAAATGGGGAGGAGCGGCTGCACTTCCAGGTGAGCTCCCAGGTCCCAGTGCGGCTGCCAGCCAGGGTAGAAGGTGCCTTCTCCAATCAGAATAAACAATCACCAGGAACAGATTAGGATGACTATGTCATACAATTCCAGTCGGTTCCCCACATTGTATTCCTGCACCTATAAAAACTCCAACCTCTAAAGATGAGGAGGCAGGAGAGGCTGGGCTGGACGCTGTGGCCACAGCTCCATCTCTGAACTGCTGTCACTATCACAAGCACACACCTGCCTCCCAAAGCCACAGATTTCACTCAACTTCCCTGCTGTTCCTGTGCAAAAGACCTGTTTTCCCAACCCCTCAAAGTGGGAGAATTTCCATCATTTACACATGGACCCTGGCTGGTGGGGCTCAGTGTTTGGCGCATCATTGCCCACACCAAGGGGTGCGCACTCTTTAGAACTAATGCATCCTGCCCAGGTGGCAGGTTTTTAATAACTGTGTGAACTTCCCACTCCACACAGAAAAAACACGTGTATGAACGTATGTTGTAAATGAAGGAAAGACAATATTTTGGTACAAGAAATGTCCTAACATGTAGAGAATATTTTATAAGATTTTATTAGAGCCAAAATGATGACAAGTGTGGGGGAGCAAGACCTCAAATGCTCCAGAGAATAACCATTTGCAGCTGCGTTTGTTCATTTGAAGTTCAGGAGGGAAGGTGAGGAGTGACATGGAGGTGGGAGAGAGCAAGGCGGGGAATGGATGCCAGGATAGTTAACAGGAGGTTCTCTCTCTCTCTCTCTTCTAATCTTTATTGTTGAAAGTATTACATAGGTCCCCCTTTTTACACATTATCCTCTTCCCACATGCTCTCATTCCCTCCTCATTCCCTCAGCACCCCTTGTCTGTGTCCACCGGTCAGGCATATATGTAGAAAAGTTCATTGGTTGATCTCTTTCCACCCAGCCTCCCCTGCCTTCCCTCTGAGGTTCCATGGTCTGATCATGCATCTATGTCTCTGAGTCTATTTTTGTTCATCAGTCTATTTGCCCCATTAGCAATGAAAATTGGTGTAGCCATTATGGTAAGCAATATGGAGTTTCCATCTAAAAATTAAAAATGTAACTCCTATTTGACCCAGTGACCCTACTTCTAGGAATATATCCTAAGAAGCCCAAAACACTCATCAGAAAAAAATGTATGCACCCATATGCTCATAGCACTGGAATTTACAACAACTAAGCTTTGGAAACAGCCTAAGTGCCCGTCAGCAGACGATTGGATTAAAAAACCGTGGCACATCTACACCATGAAATACTATGCAGCCATGAAAAAGAAAGAACTCTTACCATTTGCAATAGCAGGGGTACGTCTATAAGGGGTTAATCTCCAAAATGCATAGCAACTCATACAACTTAACAAAGGGAAGACAACAACACAATTGAAAAATTGGCACAGGGCCTCATAGGTAAGCCTCCAAAGTGGACACACAGATGGCCAAGACGTGCTCTCCTGAGGGTGGTCATGCTGATGTCAAAGGTGTGTTAACCCAGATGCACAGGAACAATGGACGGGGTGCTTAAGGCAAAGATGAGCCTTTTAGTAAAGAAGTCATAGTGCCCACCTCCAGGACTGCCCAGGTAGGATGTGTGATCAGAGCCTCCTGTGAGGGTCCTGTCAGTCACTGAGTTTTGTCAGATTTACTACAGAGCCCCCTTTTTGTTCGCAAATAAAATCCCTAAAACTGGACCTAGGGCAGGGCTTTCTGTGAGCTCTGTGGCTGAGCCTCTGAGCAAAACTAATTTAAGACAGAGCAGGAAATAGTATCTTTGCTCAACTCTCCACCTACTCCTGGTCTGGTCCCAGTGCTGGTCCTGTGTGCCCCCTGGTGGCCTGAGAGTCCTCTGCAACCCAGCCCTGCTGTCTCCCTCAGGGAGGTTTGTGTCTGGGCTCACACTGACTTCCCCTCACTGTGTCTCTTGCACAGTAATACATGGCCATGTCCTCGGCGGTCACAGAACTCAGCTGCAGAGAGAACTGGTTCTTGGATGTGTCTCTGGAGATGGAGGTTCGGCTCTTGAGGGAGGGGCTGTAGTAAGTGCTCCCATCATAACATATTACTGCAATCCACTCCAAGCCCTTCCCTGGGGGCTGGCGGATCCAGTCCCAGCAGTAACCACTGGTTGTGATAGAGAATCCAGAGACAGAGCAGGTGAGGGAGAGGGTCTGCGAGGGCTTCACCAGTCCTGGGCCCGACTCCTGCAGCTGCACCTGGGACAGGACACCTGGGACAGAGAGAACACAGTGAGTCCTGGGCTCAGATGCTGGATCCCCATCTCCTCACGTGTGAGCCCTGAGTCACTCACATCTGGGAGCTGACAGCAGGAAGAGGAAGAGCCACATGGGACTCATGTCTTGCAGGTGAGGTCCTCGTCCCCTGGAAAGTATTCTCCAGGCTGAGGAGGCCCTGCATTTAAGTGGATGCCAACTGTGTGTGTGTCTGGTGGCCGTGTGGGCATTTGCATATGGGAGGTGTCCTCACATACAAAGGGCAAGAGTTGAGGGAGGTCCTGGTCTCTGGGGCTTCTCCTGGAAGGAGGTGCTGACTGTGCCCTGAGAGAACCAGGCCCTCCTTGTGGTCCTGGTCACCGTGCCCAGGGACCTCTCCTTCCACACCAGGGGCTATGCTGCCGGAGGTGGTCAGGAAGTAGGATGTGGGCACAATCATTGACTCCTTAGGATGAAATCAATGAGGGTCTGTTCCCATGGATATAGATAGATATAGATATAGATATAGATTAGATAGATATAGATATAGATATAGATATAGATAGATATATGTAGAGATAGATATAGATACCGATCTCTTTTTTAAAATATAACTTTCGTGATATTTAGAGAGTTAGGAAGGGAGAGAGATAGAGAGAAACTTCCAGGAGAGAGAATCAAGGATTGGCTGCCTCCTGCATGGCCCCACTGTGGATGAACAACACAACCCGGCCATGTGTCCTCTTCAGGAATCAAACCAGTGACTTCTTGGGTCCTGAGTCAAAGCTCAACCACTGAGCCACTGAGCCAGGCTGGATCTTCTTTTCCTGTCCTCACCTGAGGATGTGTTCACTGATTTTTAGAGGGAAAGGAAAAAGAGAGAGAAGGAGTGAGAGAAACATTGATGTGAGAAAGAAACATTGAACAGTGAAAGATGGGGAGAGAAAGAGAAACATTGACAGGAGAGAGCAATATTTATTAGTTGCCTCCCATAACTGCTGGGACTGGGAATCAAGCACACAGCCTTTTCATATACTTATTTTAATAATATTTTATAGAATTTGGAGAGGAAGGGAGGGGAAAGGAGAGATAGAAACATCAATGATGATAGGGAATCATTGATCTATTGTGTCTTGCATGGTCACTATTGGGTATAGAGCCTGTGGACGGAAGGGCCATGTGCTGACCTGACAGCTCAGGGGAGGCCTGCGTGGCGGTCTTGCAAACTCAGACCTAAAGTCACCACAAAGGAGGGTCTGAAATTAAACTTTAACTAAAAGCACTTAGGATGGGCAGTTACATCCTAGGCCAGTATCTTCACTGACAAGGTCAACCTTTACCTTAACTGAGCCTATCTGTCTTTTTGCATCTATGATGACATACCCTTGAAATGTCGGGGTAACTTGTGACTTCCCTGTATCTGAAGCCCCTGGGGCACAACGAAATGTGCTGGGCCCCAGGACAGATACCACAAATTCCTTCATCATCATGTTAATTGTTCCTGCACCCACCTAAGTATGTGTCCATTATTTTACTTCTTATCCAATCCCAGGGGTTTCCCTGCTTTGCTTTATCCCTCCTCCTTAATCTATCACCAATGAATTTCATGTAACCCACCTACATCCCTCTTTTGATTGCAAATGTATAAATATAGATGTAACCCGCCATTCTCTGGAGCATTATCTCAATTCGCTGAGGTTCTGCTTCCCAGCCTATGTCAACAGTTTGGCTCAAATAAACTCACAAAAATTCTTTACAGGTTTCAATGGTTTTTATG